GAGGGCCGAGGGCCAATGTTGCCTCGCTCAATGGCACCCTCATGACATGTTGGGAGGAAGGGGTCCTCTTTCGTCTCGGCAGGACAGGCAGACAGGCATGCTGGACCTGACGCTGGCGCCACAGGTTTTAGAGGACTGTCGGGCCGAGCATTGCTTGGCGGGGCGGCATTGCGACGACGCGTTGGTTGGCCCCTCACCCTGACGTCTTCAATACTCCTTCACACCACAAACCATGCTGTGCACCCACCCCCTCTCTCTCTCTTTCTCTCTTTCTCTCTCTCTCTCTCTCTCTCTCTCTCTCTCTCTCTCTCTCTGCCGTTGGCACCTTACTTGGTAATCCCCCAGGCGCACAACGGCGCCTTGCTCACCACGCTAAGCTGGCTCGTCTAAATCTCCGTCTCAAGAGACATGCGCTCCTACCTTTTTTCCTCGTTCTTCTTTCAATCTCTCTCTCTCTCTCCCCCCTTTGGAATGTCATTCTTCCCCTTCGAGTTGTCCTTGCCCCTCCTGAAAACCTTTCAGCAGTCGCGTCTTTCCTCTGCGACCTAGGCGGCTGCAGCCGGACTTGTTTGAGTCATTGTGCCAGCAGAGCTAACAGGTTTCTCATTGGCTTTCGGTCGCCACCAAGTAAACACTAGGGCGTCGAGCGGATTTATTTACAAGCGACGTACCACTAACGTCACTGCTTTCACTAAAGTTTGGCTTGTTAGGATTTTTTTCCTGCGCTGTTCACTGGAAACCTTCGAGTTAGGTATCGTGCTCAAAATGAGTGAGAAATTTTGCCTCGCTTAGTGAGAGCGATAACTATAAGGCTCACCCCATTTGAGTCGTATGCACCGAATTCTCACTCTGAAGGAGTAAGATTTCCCTGAACTCGCCCAATTGCAGTGGGGAACCTTACTCTCATAGGGCGAGGTTCGCAAATTATGACTCAAATTGAGTGAGAGTCAGATATATTACTCTTAGGAGGAGAGTAAGCTTTTTGGTGTCAGTCATCTCGCTCTCCTGAGAGTAAGATATCTTACTGGCATTTTCAGTGTAATACATTTTTATCAGCAAACATCCAAATGAAAATTTTGAAGGCATGTAAACGCGCATAGCTATCCTCCGTGACAAAACAGTATTTATCATCTTATTTCCATTGTAATGCATACTGAAAATGCTGAATACGGACGCAGGAACATGACGAATACGCCGTCAATTAATCGACGGTTTCACTACGTTGTTTGGAGGTGATACTCTCTGTTCGAAACAGTATGCCAGAGGTGTTGTGTATCTTTGCGCTGTTAGTTGGGGAAGCGGTAATGGCCAGAGAGGGAGCAGAGAGAGCTCCGAGGGACAGAGAGAGAAGAGTGGGAGAGGGCGCGGGGAGTGAGGGAAGAGAAAAACACTGTGTGTGAGCTAAGTAGGGTGGATGAAACATGCACTTGAAACTTGCACACATATCCTCCGGGTCCGGATCTCTCTCTCTCTCTCGCTCCCACTCCCCGTTTCATCCCAGCGGGCAATCATGTCTACATGCACTTGAAAACATTAACCCCACCACGCCCCACCCCCTTGCCCCTCACCGCCGCCGTGCCACGCCGCGGTGCGAGAGTGTAATTCACGCTCTGTTGCCTCCTTGGAAAAACACTGGCCTTCGCCGGGCGGGAAGTTTGCCGAGTTAATGAATAGCTGCTTGTTTTTCAGGTCCGCCTGGCTTGGCCTGGGCGTGGCGGGGCGTGCTGGAGCAGCAAAGGCGTCAGCCAGAAACAAAACCCCCAGCTCAGACCAAAGAGTTGGATTGTCGCCTGCCCTGCTTTCTTCCATCTCCCTCCAGCATCGACGTATGGTAAGAAGAGAGCAGTGCTCTTTTACTTCTTCTCCTGATAGTCGTCTTCTTTCTTTCCTGCTCCTGTGTGATGCCATGCAAATCTAGTAAAAAATGCTGATGATTTCCGCGTAACCGCTCTTCGCCTTAGGAAAGTGGGACGGGGTGGGGATGAAAAGTCCCTCAAAGGTGCGAAACACGGCAACAGCGGCAGAAAAAAAATGTGTGTGGAAAAAGAGAGGGGAAGGGAGCGTCGAGGAGTCGAGCCGGACCTTTTTGCTCTCTCTGTACAGCAGCAGCGGTCAAGATGCTAAACGGCGCGAAACGATGATTGTAAAGCGCTCCGCCGTTTCACCGTCAGGTCGTTAGCGCTCTGCAGAAAATGCTCGGTGAGATGCGAGAAATTGCGTTAATGACCAGAATCAAGAGAGAGTTTCTATTTGTTCCTATTATCGCTCTCGGTATTATTTTAGTATACACCAGCGTCTACCGCGTAATACCGTAAACTCACAGAAAGGAGGCTCTACTCATTTCTATCGTTTTATTATTAGCTTCCTAAGAAGTTGAAATGGGCCGCCGGGCACTTCGCCTAAATCTACGTCCCGGTGCACATCCTTTAGACCAGTCAATTCTAACGTCAAAGCAGTGTGGCGTTACAATGACAAAACGTCAAATGGAACGAGGAGGACTGGTGGCATTTCACTGCACGAAGTTCGAGTGTTGCGGTACCCGCGGTCTCGGAGAGAGCCCGAAAGAGACACTGAGAACCAAAACCTTTCGAAGGATGGTGATAGGAAAGCCCCTGCCTGGAGTAGAACTTTCGGTCCTGATCTCGGGCAGAGCTCCCAAAATGTTAGTGTTTCCTTTGAGAAATCTGTCGTTTTACTGACCGGACAAACCGTAGATAAACATGACCGCATAATCCAAACACAACTAGACGCGAATCAAAGAGAAACGCTGCAGAAAGGGGGGGGGGGGTGTATGTGCCCATACCAAACTGACCACGAGCAAAGCTAGCCCCTGGCCGGCTGCCGGCTCGGGTCCCTTCACCAGCGGGTAAGAAAAATAAACAGTCTAGGGGTGGGAAAATTGCGACTGAAGAAGAGGGGTAAAGAGGAAGAAAATGGAAAGAGGGCGGGGAGAAGAAGAGGATTGTTTAGAGGGGAGGTGGCCCTCTGGGTGGCCCTGAAGGCGAGGGGGAGGATGAAGGGGGTACGGGTGGAGGTGAGGGGTGAGAGAGGCGGGGGCGGGTCGTAGGAAATTGAAAATAGTTCGCCCTCTTTGCAGTATTTCTGTATTTGAATTGCATCGACATTGCGTTTGGCCTCGTCCTTCTCTCTCACTCGAGCGGAGAGCACACCCCCGTGTACCGCCGTCGTTATATTACAACGATGCGCTATTTACACGGCGAAGCAGAGGACCGCTCTGAGAGCTGCTCTTTAACTTCGACGGGGAGCCTGTTCGGAAAAGATGGCATAAGAGTTTCTTGCGAAATGCACGAACCTGTCCATACACTGCTGCTTCGGAGCCACCTTTCGCATGATATTGACCGAAGACTGAGTCGAATCCTACCAGCAGCTACTTTTCTAATATTGATTGACCGAAGACTGATGAGTGAAATCTTACCAGCAGCTACTTTTCCCGAAGATTGCGTGGAATCCTACCAACAGATACTTTTCTTATATTTACAACCTCATAATCTGGCACCAAATCTTTCCTTTATACGTAATTATTTTGGCGTGCACCGATGCTATGTGATCACGGCGTTATGAGGAGGGCTGTAGCGTCCTACCCCCTACCACCCTACCGACACTCCGCCAAACTCTGGGCGCAAGTCCCCCCCTAGGCTGAAGCCTCGCGATCGAGTTAAGCCGTAACCGTGTGAGCGGGTCAGGTGCGCCGACCCTGCTGTACATCCACCGATAACTATCAAACTGCTCTCAAGTGCAAGACCATATCGACCATGGTTAAGACCGATTTTTGTTTTGAACGGGAGACGTGACATTATTGGCGTGAGAGCCGTCTGGATCGTATGTTGTTGCGTGCCATTGTATTACATGTGCTGTACCGGGAACAATTTGTTCAAGTGCGGTGGTATTACATGTGCTGTAACGGAAATGATTGCCCCCTCGGCCAATTCACAGACTGACTCGGACAATTTTTTTACGCCGCTTTCACCTGTATAATTCCTTGAAAATGTCTCTGAAATCTGTTTGCCATCTCTCGGTCAAAAGGCATCCGACCGTGGGCGAAAAAGCGCACAGGGGTGCACACACACACATGCGTCAGGAGGATGTTTCATACCGAGCCGGCATGGTTGGCGCGGGCTGGCGTTTAGATTGCATGCTGCAGAAGAGCGCAAGGCTGGGACACCTTCCACATCCACCCTCCCTTCATGGCCGGCACCCTGTGGCTGTGGAATCAGAGATACCGCTTTTCCTACGCTCGTTGCCCTGGCAACAGATGCCATTTCCGGGAGACAGTGGCAGCCGCAGTGGCGACGGCGGCGGCTCTGCTGCAGACTGCTGGACCGGCCTGCCGGGGCGGTGTTTATGGCGCCCTGTTAGGGAACTACTCCGTGACGCTCTTGCCACGCTACGGCGCGCCCCGCCCCACTACGCCACCCGATGATGCCCCC